GCAGGCCTCGGTGGTCCGCGGCAGCCCAGAGGCGTGAGGGCTCCCTGGGGCACACGCCCCACGCCCTGGTGTGCACCCCGGGCACAGCCAGCCTCCGGTCCCTCTGCATCCGTCCCAGGGTGGGACACGCCCACACGGAAGTCACTGCGGACACTAGGGGAAGCCGAGCGTAGGACCCTCCCTCCCGAGGGCCGAGAGCAAGTGACCACTGACCCTGCGTGCATCGCACGGTGCTCTGCCGACACCTGTGCGCTCCAGGACAACGCTCTGCCTGCCTCGCACCCCAGCAGCGTCAGGCCATCTTCCTGCCTGCCCTCGGGACGGGGCGGGGGGATGCGAGGAGGGGACAGAACATTGAGCGCATGCGGGCTGGCTCGGGGCCCAGGGCACTGCAGCAAAACCCACGGCTGGGCCCAGAGGCTGAGCCCAGCAGGTCTCGCCGGCCCCTGGACGGGCCAACAGCCCACGATGGGCCCCCCACTCCCCCCAGCAGGACTGTCCCCTGGGCACCAGGCCAAGGCCCAGCCCATCCAGGGCTCCCACGCACCTGCCCCACCAAGTGTTTGCTGGGGGCCTCCACGGCCAGTCCGGGAGCTGGGGGTGCAGCCAGGGCCCTGCTCTCGAGAAGGCGCAGCCTGCAGACCCCCAGCCTTTCCCAGCACCCAGTGCCTCTGAGGGCCACCTCTCAGCCCGCCCGCCTTCAGACTCCCCATGTGCGGTCCTGTTGCCACGCCTCCTTGCGGCAGCGGCCCAGGTAGCTGGGCCCTGCCCTTCCAGCCCACCTGTGCAGCACCTACAGTTAAGGCTCCGCCACGTCCTGAGCACGGGGTCTCAGGGGAAGTCGTCACTCCAGGTGGCTGAACAACCCCACCAGAAGTTTCAGCTTGACCTCAGCTTTGCAAGCAAACACCGGTGTCATCGCTGAGCTCGGCCACCTGGGCAGGAGAGAGTGCCATCAAGGGGGCCGTCTAAACCCCTCCACTTCCGCGCGTCCTGGTCTGGAGCCATGCCTGTGGCCTGCCCAGGGAGGTCCGGCTCCACGGGCCCCCAAACTAAGGAAATGGCTTAGCAGAAGCTCCAAATGACACCAGTGGCCTTTTCCCAACAGAATGGGCGTGCACCAGCACGTCTGTGAGGGAGCTGGGCAGGGGCTGAGAGCCGGTGTCCCCAGACCCACACCCAGGCCACACCTCCAGCGGCGGCGACTCAGAGCTGGTTGGGCCGCTCGGCAATGAGCAGTTGGAGCAGCCTGTGCTCAAAGCCACGCTGGGCACATGGACGCCATTCGTTCCCCAGTGGGCTGCGGTGAGAAAGGCACGAGCGCGTCCGACGGACCGGCACTGCACCGAGCTCCCAGCTAAGTCCGCCTAGAAAAGAACCTGGAATCCCAGGGTGTGGCAGCCAACACATTTCACCTTCTGAAATATGACCTTGGCCCTGAAATACGCACACGCATGCCGGACTCAGGCTGTGTTCACACAAGAGGTTCCACGAACCCAGGTGGCCTGGTCAGGGAAGCGGCAGGACAAGGCCCCGAGCGCCCCCCAGTGGCCAGCGTGGGAGCGGACGTCACGTCCGCAGCAGCAGAGAATTGTTTTCGGAACTCCCACCGCCCGCAAGTCAGCCAGCAACGGGCAGGTGTTTACCTCCACAGACGTCTACCCACTGCTGCCGCTCCTTCTAGAACTCCACCACCGTATTAAAACCACAACCAGATCAAAACACAGATCCACAATGATCAGAAGACAGGGCCAAGTAAGAACAGACGTCCCACCACCCGGGGCCTGTGGGGGCTGAAGGGTGGGCACAGCAGAACACAGGGACGGCAGAGGGGCGCACGCGCAGGGAGCCGCGCTTGCAGGACCAGCCACGGGGAGCAGGAAAGTCACTGTCAGAGGAAAAGTGCCATTTCTGTAGCCAGCACACGCTCAGCTCTCAAGGCAGGCCACCTCCTGGAGGCAGGCGCAGCCCGGCCGCTTGCCAGCCTCCTGGCTCTCAGGTTACAGAGGGACAAGCTGAGCAGCAGCCGGGTGTCGACCCAGATCCTGGGAAGGTTTAGGTTCCGCAGTTGACAGGACCAGGAGCCATCCCCGAGGACAGGCCTATCCAGTGGTGCTGGCCGACCGCCAGAATATGTTCCTCAGAAGGGATTTCTCAAGCTTGACTCTTGTTTGTTTGCTTTCAGACAGGGTCTCGCTCTGTCGCCCAGGCTGGAGTGCAGTGGTACAATCACAGCTCACTGCAGCTTCCAACTTCTGGGCTGAAGTGATCCTCCCGCCTCAGCCTCTCGCGGTTAATTTTTAAAACAATTTTTTTTTCAGAGACGGGGTCTCACTATGTTGCCCAGGCTGGCCTTGAACTCCCGGCCTCAAGTGATCCTCCTGCCTTGGCCTCCAAAAGTGCTAGGATAACAGGCATGAGCACCACACCCAGCCCACGGGGAACATTTTTATGGATAAACACCAAGCTTCATGGCCTGAAAAAACAGAGTATCCCTCTAACATCAACACCTCCAACGATCCCCCACAACGAGGTCACGAAGCTACCGCTACCCACATAAACCTGCACGGCGTGGGGCAGCGAGGAGGTGCACCAGCAGCTGTCGGATCCGCTGCTCTGCTTCATTCTGCTCCTCCCAACACTGGATCCTCGCCAAGCCTGGCTCTGCCCTCAGGGGCGTCCACGACGTGCAGGTGTCGGCTCAATGTGGGGCCTCGTCCCCCAGGGCTCTCCCCTGGCCCACCCAGCCCCACGCAGCTGGGACCTCGTGCGGGACTGTCCAAGCCCAGAAACTCACTCCGGTGTCAAGTTTTCTGCACCCAGTCTTAACACTCACCGAGTTTCCAGGATTGTCGCTACCAGGTAAACTGAGGGAACGCCGACCTTCGCCGTTTGTAGCACTTCACCCACGCCTGCGTAGCAAGATCAGAGCGAGTCCACGCCCAGGATGAGGAACCGACTTTGCTTGCCCTTCCTCGATGGTGGTGCCTGAGAACTGACATAGTTGCACACACATCTTATTAAAATTACTACCCTTATTTCTCTTTTACATTCCTATTACAGCTTTAAATTGATTTTTAACTTAGAACGTAATGAGGTTGTATTTCCCCTAAATTTCACTGTGAGACAGCAAAGGAAGCCTTGCAGAGTAAGTGGTCTAAAGGGGGCTGAGGGGGCTGGCCCCACCTGGAGCCCAGGTCCAGTGCACAGGGTGGCCACGTGCAGACTGTGGCGGCACCAGCGATGGCCACGTGTGGCAGCCTGGGGCGTAACCCTGATCACACCAGCTCTCATCCGGAGGGGAAACCATCCGCGCCGGAGGCGCCCGAGCTGCAGGCCTTGGCTCCTGAGGACCCACAGGGCCACCTCCCCACACAGCCAGCTCACCCTGAACTCGACTGAGGCCACAAGGAACCAGTGGAGAAGGGGCCACAAACCGCAGGGCTGGCTCGAGGCCACTCCACAGAGCCAGGCCTGGTCTACAACGAACAGTGTGAACGGCAGGTGCAAACTGTGTGCAGGAGAATAAGGGGTAAGTCCAGGAAGCTGACATTACCTGAGGTCCCAATGGTATGTGTGGCTGCTGCCCAAGCCCCCACCGGGTTGGCCTTGTCTGGGTCCCCAGGTGGGACAGGAAACCGACCTCTCAGGAGCCGGAGCCACTGGACGGGCAGCTCCCACGCGCTGCGGCAGCCCCACACCCCCAAGCCCACTGGGCAGCGTGTGCTGCAGGCCAGACACTCCTGCTCTGTTTCCAGGAGTGCCAAAGGGACAGTTTCTTCCACCGAAACTAGCTTCCTGGCTGCTTTGACAGGTGGGCACCGACAGACTTTTCCCACTGATGTTTCTCCTTAAACGTCTCGACAGAAGAGAAGACGCGCGTGGCCGTGTGACCACCGCTGACGGGGAGCTCACTACTGGCACCTGCGCCCGCCCAGGGCTGGGCCGCGCCAGGGACGTTCTCCATGAAGAGTGTGAACACCAGAGCCCTCGGGGCCGCCCTATGTCTGAGGTGCACGGAAGGCGGCAGCCCCAGGGCCGGCCCACAGCTTCAGGAAGGAACAGGCCCACCGGTGGGGCAGTGACACGGGGCAGTGCAGGGAAGAAGAAAAACAGAGAAAGACATGAGGAGTGAGAATCACAGGATCGTGTACTCTGATTCTGATGGCCACTTAAAAACAAAACACAGGCAAAATCACGCTCAGAGTGCAGAGCAAATCCTGGAAACTCACTGTACCACACAACTTCAGGAATATAGTCACGAAGAGATGGGGTCTACGTTGCCCGGGCTGGACTCAAACTTCTGGGCTCAGGCGATCCTCCCAGCTCAGCCTCCCAAGTAGTGGGACTCTGTATCTCAACACGAGGCTTAGATGTGAGATTTACTACCTTTAAAAGGCATTTTTAATATTTCTGCCCAAAAGTTTTAAATCTAAATCTCAAGAACAATGGAAAAACCTAGATCTGTAAGAAGAAATGTTTTCTTAGAGCATCCTCACTCGGCTAGAACAGCTCAGCGCCCAGCGAGGCCCCCACGCCTACGGCCGCCCCACGGCAAGCACGCCGGTGCTGGGAGGGGGTGCAGCTGCCTCAGGCATGAGAGCCGACTGCTGAAGCAATGATCATGAGCAGAGCTCACAAAAAAAGGAAACATTTTCTCATTTTAAAGCTCAGATACAGTTTTTTTTTTAAAAAAAAAAAAGGAAAAGGCCGGTGCAGGCAGTGGCTGCTGAGCCTGGGGAGATGAGCTCAGCGGGTGCAACTGTGAAGGCCCTTACGTCCAATAACAACGTGAGATTGTGCCAACAAAACGTGTCTGCAAGATTCAACCAAAACGTCCATGTGGCCACAGCACCTGCCCCGGCAGGAGTGGGACAGAGCCGAGCTCATGAGAACGCAAACGTCCAGGAGGTGCCTGATTTCTTCTTTGGCACCAAATAATACTAAGACAGAAAATAGGAAAAAGAGATTTTATTCATTAAAGAAAAGTCATCTGTGGATTAGCGTAGTTGAATTAGTAAATTGGACATTAACGCTTTGGATAGAAACATGCTTTCTTTCAATAACAAGTGGACTCTACAAGCAACGCCTAAGGGTCAAGTCAAGCAGCATCGCAAGAGCCCGAAGGAACACTCTGGAGAGGCCGTCCTTCCACTTCCCAGCCCCAAAGCCACTTTTCGCAGACGCCTGTCAGATGCGCAAGGCGCTGCCTTAGGAAGTGCCACTGCAGGCGTTTGTAAGCAATAAGGTCAGAGAACGAGTGGGGCCACAACGCCTCTGACACCCGGGCCGAGTGCAGAGGGCAGGTTTCCGGGAGGCTCCTCTCCCCGTCTCCGGCTGCTCCTGGGGGGCTGCAGCAGCCGGGCAGCCACGGGGGACAGTGCCGCCTACGTGCGGTTCAGTGTCTGGAAGATTCTGGAGATCTGCAGCATGACCGGCCCCGTCTCCGGGTCGTTCATCCACTGGGTGCTGTTCAGCGGGTTCTCCAGCATGTCTTCGAAGGCTGCGGGCAAAGCAGAGCACAGCTGAGCCCTGGCACCCGCACCCTGCGCCAGTGAGAACTGCAGCAGCTTCCCTCTGCGAGAGGCTTCACGGAAAGGGTGGGCCGCAAGCAGCCAGGGCACACGGCACACAGGGCCACCACTAACCCTCTGCCTGGACACCCACGCAGCCGCATCCAACCTGCTGACCACACCGGTAGCTGTGAGACAGACGCCGCATATTCCATCTGGCAGGCGGCGGCATGCCTGTGCGATCGCGGGCACACCACCCCAGAGCCGTCTGGCAGTGGCCATTAGCACTCTTAAAACTCAGCCCATAATCCCACTTCGAATCCCATCCAGAGAAAAAAGGACTTACACACAAATGTAAGTTTGTACGCAGACTTAAATACAAATGTTGTATAAATACACAAACTTATATATATATAAATGGAAAACTTATATATTAAATTGGAAACACCTAAATGTTCATTCAACCTTAAGAAAATGAGGGCGCAGTGGCTCATGCCTGTAATCCTAGCACTCTGGGAGGCTGAGGTGGGAGGATCGCTTCAGCTCAGGAGTTCAAGGTCAGGCTGAGCAAGAATGAGACCCGTCTCTACTAAAAATAGAAAAATTAGCCAGACGTGACGGTGGCACCTGTAGTCCCAGCTACTCGGGAGGCTGAAGCAGGAGTATTGCTTGAGCCCAGGAGTTTCAGGTTGCAGTGAGCGAGCTGTGATGATGCCACTGAACTCTACCTAGGACGAGAGAGAGCGAGCTTGCCTCAAAAAAAAAAAAAAAAAAAAAAAAGTAACAGAGTACTTCTCAACATGAAAACTTTGATCTTCTAATTTTCCCCAAATAGGTGCTTTTAGCAAACAGCTCTTGGGTCCCAGCCCTGTGAAGGCACAGCCCTCTGCAGGGTGCCAGCCTGCTCTGCTGGGATTGACAGCTTCACAGCACACCTGGCCACCGCCGCACAGCTGGGCCTCTCCAGCAAAAGCAGCCCAAGCCGGCAGGCTGGAAGGATAGTGCTCACTGCAGGAGCTCACAGCCTCGGGGTCAGCGTGAACCTCACTTAGCTCCGTCCATGAAGGTACAACCCCAGGCCCTAAAACAACCCCTGCTGTTCTCCTGATTAAAATCCTCTGAACACCAGTGCAAACTCTCAGAAAGACAACTTGGCATCTGCAAGAACACTCTACAGAGTGTGGGCGTGTCACAGGCCCGGGAGGTCGGATGGGGCTACTGCACACAGGCTGGGGACCTGGTCCCCCTCCTGCCCCCAGCAAACAGCACAGCAAACGCCAGAAGGATGAGAGCTGAACAAAAAGATGAAAACAGGAATTAAATATGAAAACCATATGGATGAACATCTATCTGAGGAAGCACTTTCTTCTGTATGTCTTAATTTCTGTATTTCAAGAGGTGCCACACAAAATTAAAGGGCAAACACGTCTGCAACACATGACAAGGGCAGGTGTTACCACATAACACTACAGGCGAAGCTCTAGGACAGTCTCACAGTTGGCAAACAGACGGCAGACGCGGGCGATGTGTGACAGGAGAGGCACGCTGGCCGACAGGTGCCCCACGTCACGGATCACCAAAAGGAACACAAATTATAACAACACGATCAGGCCTCTGTGGAATGGGGTGGGCGAGTGCCCTGGGCAGATCTCGCATGGCGACACCAGGGAGCAAGTCAACAAGACAGCAGCAGAGTTTAAAAGGCTCCACCGGCTCTAACTGGTCATGTGACTTCCATCCACTCATCCTCAGGGATGTGAGCCGCACCCAAGGAGGTGTCACAGCAGCGAGTCCAAAAGCACCCGGCTGAGAGCCATCTCAGTGACCAGGGCCAAGGGAACGGTGTTTGTTAAATAACTTACAGCACATCTACAGAGCACTACTCTGCACCCACTAAAAGCTCGTTTTTAAAAATAGAGCAGAGAGAATGCATGAAAGGTGACGCGAGAGTGAGAAGCAGGACGTGGTTCCGAGGGACGACTGCAGCCCTGTCCAGCAGACGGGTGCCTACAAAGACATGGGAGGACGCCCGCCAACGGGAGGAGGAGAATGAAAGGGAACTTCGAGTTGCTTCTTCGTTTTCTTCTTCATTTTCCAAATTTTCTATAATGGACATCGTATTTCCTCTAGAATGATAAAGGTCATTTAAAAAAATCACATCAGAGATGTTTAGATATGCGCTTGAGAGAACCGTGAGCCTGCAGAGGACCCGGCACGGCAGGTGCGTCGGGTGGTCCGGTGACCGGGGGAGGCCCAGCACCGAGGCTCTGGTCAGAGAGGGCCGCGGTCCTGCCGGGCAGAGCTCCAGGCTGCCGGGACTTGGGTGCCTACTGCCCCGCGAGTTCATTCCCGGTGCACGGAATGTGAGTGCCACACCGCGTCAGCCGGCACCTCGTGTTCCATTGACTTAGAACCTGCAGACTGGGCGGGCTTGCCCCATGCAGCCTGGTCAGAAACGGGAGAAAGCCTCCACGTCAGCCACGCGACAATCTCAACAGACGGGTTAAAAACCCTTCACGTCTAAACTGGAGGAAAAAAAGAACTTCCTTTATCTAATCAAATGTGCCTTTAAAAACCACCATAATTAGCAATCTCAACGGTAAAGTATCAAAAGAAAATCCCGTAGACAGGGTCTCTAGACAGACCCTCGGCAGCACCCGCTGAGGTCTAAGGTCCAGAGACCGCAGGAGAGACACACTCTCTGTGTGCAAGGGACCACCGAGAACAAAAAGAAACTCACAAAGACACATCTCAAACTTTAGAATTTGGGTACACAGAGAAAAATTCCCTCTCTCACACCACAAACATGCTTCCAGGTGGATTACAGACTTAAATAAGAAAGGAGAAACTTTAAAACTTTTAGAAAAAAATAAAGGAAAATGTCTTGCTGACCTTGGGGTAGCAAGGTTTTCTTTTAAAGGTTCACATCATAAAAGGGGACAGACACTCAAGGACAGCAGAGCACAGAGCGTCTGTGGATCGGCGTCGAGAAGAGAGAAGCCAGAAGCTGGGTAGCACCTGCAGCACAAGCAGCTGGGCAGGCTCAGCGCCCAGAACAGGAAGCACTTTCTGAGCGAAGAAAACAATCCAGCAGGATGACAGGCCGAGAGCCGACAGAAGGCCCCGCACAGCCGAGGCCGAGCAGCGGCAGGTAAACTTCTGAGCCGGGCTCAGCCCTGACAACCAGGGGCGGCAGCCCCTCCCCGCCTGCCTGCCCGGCCGCAAATGCCTTCCCTGCCGTCCGGGGCCACTGCTCCTGGGGAGCAGCAGGGCCTTGCCAGCCCAGCTCTGGGTGTTCAGCGTACAGAAACCCTCGTCCCTGTGCACTGGGGGACGGGGACAGGACGCTGGGAGCAGCGTCAGAGCAGCACCACAAGCGCAGCCCGAGTACGAGAGCAGACAGAGAAACCGACTGGTACGCTCCGTCGACGAAATACCTTACACCACTTCACAGAAGAATGCCTGAGTGGCAGAAGCCTACCTAAACGTGCTCCTGTTTACAGGAAGGCAGGGACAGGTGAGGGCCGGTTAGGGCACACGGAGAGCCGGCAAAACTACGGGAGAGCAAAGCCCTCAGGACGGCGACCGCTCTGAAGGAGAAGGGTGCCCCAGGCCCAGGGGGACTGCAGTACTCTGCATTTTAAGATGAATGGTAGATACGTGGCTATTAGTTTTACTATTATTCTTTCTTTTTTAGAGACAGTGTCTCACTCTGTCGCCGAGGCTGGGGTGCAGCAATGTGATCACAGCTCACTGCAGCCTCCAACTCCTGGCTCAAGCCGTCCTGCCTCAGCCTCCCGAGTGCTGGGACCGCAGGTGCGAGCTACTATGCCCGGCTTAATTTTATTATTCTTTGAAGTTACAAATATTATAGAAGCGTTTGCATGTGTGTATCTCACAGTGAAAATACCTAATTCCCGAAGAGGCCCCTCTCAAAACCCCAAGCCCTTTTGTGCTCACGGAAGTTCCCGAGCTGCTGGGAGCTGTCTCTCCCCTCTGGACTGGGAAAGCCGCTGGCACTGGTTTTTCCAGAGCTATATCCAGCTGTTTGTGCAGGCAACTGTCACCCATGAGCAGAACCTGACTCTTAGGCCCTACGGTGACCCTGGCAGGAGCTACGTACGCCACAGGCTGCCAACCTGCATGGCAGGGAAGGCCACCCCCGCATAGCGATTCTCAGTGTGGCTTCTGCGCCCTCTGCTTACTGTGGGAGGACACCAGCCGCTTCCCCACTTGCCCCTGCCCCCACATGAGTTAGGTAAAGACGACACACATACCTAGCAGTGTTTTCGGGTTGGTCAGACCCAGCTGCACCACGGGGTTATCCAGGATGGCCTGAAAGAGAGGGCTGTCGGGGTCGATGCCCTTGTCCAGCTCCTCGGGAGAGGGCTTCCGGTCCCCCAGCAGCCACTCGCACTGCGAAGCCAAGAGGTCAGAGCCGCCGTTAGTTCCTTGTCGAGACACCGTCAACATCAGACACCTGTACCTTTCTGTGAGTCCCTGGCAAGTCCCCGAGGCTGCTCTGACTGTAAGGGACTTCGTTATAAAACAAACCTGGTCCCTGTTACGTCGGGCTGGAGGGAGAAGCAGGTGCCAGTCTGGGTTTCTCTCCAGACCCTGGCGTTGCAGTGCAGTCTGACCACTGCCACCCACAGGGGTGCCAGCGTGGCCTTCCCAGAAGTGTTGGGTAACTAACAAATACACCAAACGCCTGGCTTTGTTCGGGGGAAGAAATCCAGCATGACTGAGGTCCTGTTACGGCCAGTCAACGATCTGGAGACATCTGGACACGGACACGTCATCGCTAGCTTAGCTGTCTGAGCCGTCAACGCTCCGCGCAGGTGGAGATGTCGTCGGCCCACCAGAAGCTCTCTGGGCAGAGCTTCTGTCAGCAGCCGGCATGTGTTTACAGAAAGGGAATCAACTGAGTCCGTTTAATAAAATAAATTAACAAATTACATGCTCGCCCATAGAGTATGTACAAATAAGGCACTGTTTTTAGAAAGGCAAAGCCCAGAATTTTCTCAGTATTTTCAAAATTTTGTATTACTGGCAACATCTACCCCATCGTTTCACCTCAGTGGCAACGTGACTGACGGCGAGCGGAAGACTGCGCAGCACGGCAGACCCGGGACGTGAGGGAACGTGGCCCCGGCCCGCCTGGTACTCACGGCGGCGTTCTGCTGGTTGTTGTTCACCCGGAGGGCGTCCAGCACCTCCTTCTCATCGAAGCCCATCTCCATCAGGGAAACCACCGCCTGCGAGAACCAACGGCCCGTTACACACCCAGCTCACGGAGGGCGGCACCGAGTCCCCGTGGGGAGCCACTTTCCATTAACAACATCTTAGCAGAAGGGACTCTAAAATACTGCCATGGGATTTCCCACTTCCGAGTTCTCCTTCCTTACAGCTTTACTGAAACACTTCTTAGTTTTCAACATCTTAAAGCCCAGGGGGTGTAGGGTGTGCTGCAGTCAGCAGAGGCCAGGCCCGTCTGAGGGGACCACAGGCTGGGGTGGGGAGCAGACGTGCCGTGACGCAGTGCTCGTGTGGACGTGCACAGCCAGACCCGCTGCAGACCCTCTCCGTTTGTCCTGCCGCCGGGGGGGATGAAACTGCGCACAGATCTACCCCCGAGGGCCTCCTGTCCAAGCATGAGTGGCGTCACGGAAAGGTCACGCCAGTAAACCTGATTCAAATGAAGACAAAAATGTCGTAGTATTTGTGGAGAAGAGAGGTTTTATTCAGATCTTATCTCGGAAAAAAGAAACTAAAACTTTTTAAACTTCTAATATTTAACAGAACTTAAGCTGTAAGTGCAAACATACCCTAATTCTTAGAGCAAACAATGACCCAACCGTCAGTGTGTTGCGGGAAGAATATACATTTTCAGGACAAAATCGTATAACAAGACGATCCTTCACTTTACAAAGCACTTTTATAACACAATGTTTAAAAAGGTCAGTATTACAGAAAATTATAACAGTTTCATCAATTTTTAAAAAGCATCTCATTCAAATTGGTACTGATTAACACCATGGTGCTCACGTGGCAGTAATACTCTCTAGGGACTAGGGGGATGGGGGGTAAACTCACAACTAAAGGACACAGGGAGCATTGTAGAGGGGAAGCGCATGCCTCTAACCCTCGCTTGGGTGAGGCAGACATAAAATGTAACCAAAATGTTTGTACCTTCATAATACCCTGAAATAAAAAAAATAAAAATAAAAAAAAGCATCTCATAATCCTTGGAAGGTCAACTCCCGCTCCCTGGAAGCCCTAGGGTCCTCTCCTCCCCCTCTCTGTTCTCTCGAAAGGGTTAACTACTCCGACTCCACGGCCCGCACAGCTCTCCGGCGCCTCTTACGTGGTCACAGACACCCACTTTCACACACACCCAGTCTGGGCCGGGCCAACAGAGGGTTCCAAGGGAACCCCGCAGGAAAGACCTCAGGGGGCAGGCAGGAGGCCGCTGAGTTCACAAGTCCGCACTTTCACTCATGCTCTATCTCACTTGCCTCCCTGGGCCACGCCCCAACTCCAGGGCCTCCAACAGTGTGTGCTGGGAGAAGGGCCCACCACACAGCACCGTGACGTCAAAGTCACATAAAGCATCCAGGAACCTACTGCTGAACTCAGGGACAGGATGGCCTTTCTGTTAGCTTCAAAGAAACCATTCTCTCTCCTCATGTCTACTCTGCACCAGCACTTCTGAGGTGACACTCCGGTAGCCCCACCCCTCCCTGCCTGCGAGAGCAAAGACTTTCTCATGGCAGCAGTGGAGGGTCCCTGCTCAAGGGCTGGGGGCCTGCACCCCCTGGCAGTGTCCTCTCCACAGCCGGGAGTGAGTGGGGTGAGGCAGCAGAAAGCTGTGCAGTCCCAAGTCCCAGCCCTGCCCGACCCCCCTTTTTCCCAGAACTCGGTAACATCTTGATTCTCATCAGATGCTGCCTGCTCCATGACTGGCACGTAAATCAAAGGGCAGGAGAAGAGCTGATATGCTGGGCCCTCGAGCCCTGACAACTTTATAGTAACTGTCACCAAAGAAGACTTTCCATGAACTGTCTAACTCAGGAGACGGGAAGGACAGCAGTGAAATATCCTAGGAGGATGAGCAGGTGGAGACGGAGCGTGAACATCTGTATCTAACAGCAAAGGGTCAGAGGCAAAAAGGAATATAAACCAGCAACCTCGCAGGGACCACACAGGACCCAGACCAGGAAAGCAGAGCAGCTGCTCCATCCCCGACAGGCTTTCAGGAGCAGACGTGGACTTGCCCCAGGAAGACTGTGACAACAAGACAAACTTCCTGGCAAACCCAGAACCACTGGGTTCGATCGGGTGAAAGCACTTTCCTACGCACAGGTCAACTCACAAGAAAGGGCATCCGCAGGGGTGGGAACAGAGGACGGAAACCAGCCCTGGGAGGGCGGGAGACGCCTCACCCACAGAAAGTGGACTGTGGGCCACACTCACTGGGGAGTGGGCGCTGAGATGCTGGCTTACAAAGCAGGGCCCCAAAGGGATGGGCAGAAGCACTAGAAAAGCGTTGTCTGAGTCTGATTCCTCCTGTGTAGGGAAGAATCAAAGCCAAGGAGCCGTGGGGCTACACTGTGGGGTAGAGGCCAGGCCCCACCGGGACAACCGACATACAAAGCGGCCTGGCTGGTGGTCCTGCACAGCCCCGGTGGAAGCAAACTCAGAATCATCCCAGTGAGCAGGCCACATTGGACTCCCATGGAAAACACAAGCTGCATAGGTGAGACCAGGATGAAAACCCAGCTGTGCCACGCCAGAATCAGGAGTGCTCGTGGAACGAGCACCCTGAGCTGACAGATTTGCGACCTGAAAGGAAATGTGAGCATGTCTGAACGATTTAAAATGTCAAAGGAGGAATTAAAACCCTGAGCGAGGAACAGGACAGTGAAGAAAGAATAGGAGACACAGAAACATCACTCATTAGGTGACGCTAGGGAGGGCCATGAAACGTGCCCTGACATCAGCTGCCCGGGCGTAGCCGGAGCTCTCCTGGGCTCCGGGCCCCGGGAAGCTGCAGACAGCAGAGTGACGAGACGGCCACCCGACCAGCACCTCTGCTCACAGGGCAGCCCCCTGGGTTGCCCTGCAGGTCTCTGGGCGGTCAGTCCCCCACCCAGACCCACAGAGCGGCTTCGGCAACAGGTGCTACTGAGGCTACCGAGAGGAAATCTGGACAGGGTCTGAAGAGAGGATAACTTATAGGTGAACTTGGGCACTCAGGCCCCCGACCTAGGCCTACCTGCAAACTGCCCTGGCTTTACTTTCTCCAGGATGGGAGCTGACCCCACTCACAGTCAGCCGCGTCGCCCCAGCTTCCTTTACACAACACAGCCCCAAGTGAAGTCAGGGTGACTCTGCCTGGTGACAGGTCCACTAACACATACCCGAGCGTCAGGCCGAAATTCCCTTTTCCTCCGAATCTTCTTAAAGATCTCCGTTAGTTCATCTCTGGCCTCCTCATCCTCCGTGCTAGTTCCAGCAGCAGCCTCGGAGGTGCCTGCCGTGGCCCCCTCAGCTCCAGGTGAGGCCTGGCCTGGGAGGGGTGTGTCGATGGCCGGGTCCTCAGCATGCTCTATTAGCCACTCCATGGCCTGGGGCACCGACATGCTGAAAGGCAACAAGAGGCTCTTGCCAATATCCCAGGTGACCTGACCATGTACTTCCTGCACATGCCCAGGAAAATGCCCTTCCATGTCAGCGACTTCTCTGCATGGAGGGACGGCTGGCACTCTGGTCTTGCCTCCAGTGACCCACGCCCCTGGGCAGAACACGGAAACCCACGTGCTGAGGAAGGGGACCAGACTTGGAGGAACACAGCGCGAGTTCAGGTCCGCAGCACAAAGGAATGTGGCTTATGAATTATTCATTTTAGATCTGCACACAAGAGTAATTAGAAATAGGACCCTAAGGAAGACTGTTCAGGATCACTGGCCTTGCTATGAACAGGCTCGATTTGAGTTCTCATAAAACAACGGCCGGAAGAACAGTTACAGGGTGATGATTTCCACATCCCCGCCCCTCACCAGATATTTTCTGGCCATGTATTTAAGGGACCTCTTTAAAAACTCACACATACTAGAAATGATTCAATCAAACCAAGCGTTTGGGACAGGAGGTCGCCCGCAGGGAGCCCCCAAGACTAAGCCCCACGTACTGGTTCAGCCGAAGGGCCTTGGAGGCCCTGGTCTCGGGAAAGCCCATCTCCGTGAGCTGCCGCAGAGCAGCTTCGTCTACACGCTCGTCCTCGTCCTCGTCCAGCATAGCTGCAGGCGAGAGACCAGACCCGCGTCAGGGGCACTTCCCTGAGCACCAAACACTCTCCGCAGTTATCTGAAACCTCAGCGTATCTGTGAACTAACCACCATGCTCACGCGCACAAGCAAGAATGATGGCGTCAGCAGGCAGCTACCCATGTGGACTGCCAAGTGGAAAAATAAAGGGTGGAGAGTGTTCCAGCTGCAGCGGCAAGGGCAGTGGGTAAACAGCCGGACGTGAATGCAGAACCATCCACCAACCTGGGGTCTGCGCGTACCGTTTGCCTTCTTAAACAATTCCACTGCGTCCGGGTTCAGCGCTAACAACTTCTGTGCCACCTTGATGAGAGACACCAATATTTTCCGGAGTTCTGTCTGGAACTGTAGTGAAAAAAAGAGATCATTTCTTTAAACGTCCAAAAACCTACTTGGATCTATAATCCCACTTCCCTGTCCTAGAATTCTAAACCTGTGAGAATCAAAACTGCGCTCTTTCCTTCACGAGAGTGGAGAGCGGCTGAGGAGGAAGAGGGTGGGACTGGCAGACAGCCCAGGGCACCCCTCAGGAGGCGCTCACAGCCTGGGAAGGAGGGGGCTCTTCCGTCTGCACAGACAGGCCGAGAGCAGGGCCTCTCAGCTGGCAACACAGAGGCAAGGTCCAGGGACAGTCACTCTGTGTCGGTATGATACTCAGTCCCACGGGCAGTGAGGAAACCATCTGGTCAGCTGGTACCATGTGGGCAGAAGACCTTCTCGGCCTTGCTAAAGAAAGCGGATGGACTCGATGGGCTCCACGGCTGTGGCTCTCTAACTGCTGCCTGGCTGAAGCACCACCGCCACCAAGAGCATCTGCCACAGCCAATGGATCTTCTTGACAAGAGAGGAGGAGCTGGTAGGACGTGATCAGAGACCCTCTCTAGACAGGTCCCGGTTACAGGGCCCAGAGATGGGGGTCAGCTGTCTCCTCTCTCACACAAGCCTACGCCGTCCTACGAGACACCACACTGGGGCAAACACACCTCTGAGCTGGACACACAGGCCCGGAGGGACAACATGCTGGCCACTATGGAAGAGCTACATGCTCTGGTTAGTATGGAACTCTCTGGAAGACACCCCGAGGCAGTTCTGTTCCTAAGATGAACCAGGGCTCAGGACAGTGCTCTCGGATCAGATAGGTATCAGACAAACCTGAGGGCCAGCACGTGCCCTGCATGCTGGGCTAGTCCACGTGGGCATTGCAGACACTTTTTTTAACTTGGAATTTTCCAATACAAAACAATTTAAGAGTTCAGATTTCTATCTCCAAGTCTTTCCCAAACTCAGGACCAAACTCTTAACATTCTCACAGTGGTATCCAGTGGTATCTACCCTTTCAGTCCTGCCTTCAGATGTCTTTTAAACTCATTACTGTGAAATAATTTTAGATTTAAAGAAAAGTTGCAAAAATAGTAGAATTCTTGTGTATCTTTCACCAGCTTCTTGCGGCTCCCAGCCCGCTGTGACCAACACGCGCCCCATCTCCACTGGGGCCACACTCACGTCTCGCATGTTGGTCTGGACCACGTCCCGGTCCATGTTGTAGGAGGGCAGGCTGGCAGTGGCTCGGAAGATAGCATCTCGATCTGGAGCTTTCTGGTCTTGTTTTTTCTGCACAGAGAAGTAATTAGAAAGTCAGAAATGAACATAAGCACAATAAAAGGCAATATTATGTAAACTGAATAAAAAGCTCCAAGCAGAGAGAGAATCTGTTTCCTTTAGGAACAAAAGCTGTAAACTCCTTGATGAGTTGGGGGTATTCCGGAGAGTTCTGTGCAAGACCTCAGGGACAGAACACTGGACGTGATGCTTAGGACACGAATGTGGTGGTAAAGGAGGGGAGGAGAAGGTGGCCACAGCATGACAGTCACACAGGCTACGGCAGGGCTGGGGTGACGGGGACAGCTTCCAAGGAACCACACAGATGCGCAGAGAGGCCCAGAGGCCAGAAATACACACCTGTCTCTGCTGCTTTTGGAAACCCAATGTGACAAGAAAGGAATAAAGGTAGAAATTCACAAGCACAAAAAGGATGGCAGAGGAAACAAAAATAGAAGAGAGGCCACAAATTTTTAGAAGATGGCAAGTGGCTAGAGGGATCAGCAGAGCTGCAGAGGCTAATACCAAGAGCTGGCAGAGCAGATAGCCAGCCAGACGCAAGGCCACGCCACCCTCCCCAGAACTGCAGGACACTCAGGGGCATCAGGTGCCACAGCGGGGGAAGCGAGCCCCAGGAGCAGGAGTGGCGCTCCTCCCCCACCCTGCTCAGCCGGCAGCCACCTAGAGGGACCGAGCCTGAGATGCCCGCAGGCCAGGAACCCCAGGCTTGGCAGAGGGTGGCACCCTCCTGCACCCTCGACCACGAGACCAACACCTGTGCTACTCAGCATCAGGGACAGAGCGGGAGACACAGCTGGGGGCAGGAGGGACACAATGGCTGGGTCTCTGTGCCATGGCGACGCCCACCAGCTGGCACAACCTGCCTGGGCACAGAGAGCAGCTGACAAGTTCTAGGGCCTCTTAAAGGCAACATTAACAGCCAAGGACAGCGGCTGGATATTTGAGGAAAGCTTCCAACATGAAAGACAAAAACCAAAATGAGAACAGGGAAAATAAAAGGAAGCACAAAGGGAAGAGACAGGGAGGGAAGAGGAAAGCACTTAAAACTCAGGAACTCGACCCCACACCCAGACAGGAACACGCCAGACTGACAGACAGAACCATCTGAGGACAAGAACTGCTTGGGAAGTTTTAAAATATTACACCCAGACACAAAAAAGGCTGTAGGGAGCCGGGCGTGGTGGCTCACGCCTGTAATCCTAGCTCTCTGGGAGGCCAAGGCGGGTAGATGGCTCAAGGTCAGGAGTTCAAAACCAGCCTGAGCAAGAGCGAGACCCCGTCTCTACTAAAAATAGAAAAATTAGCTGGGCGTGAAGATGCGCACCTGTAGTCCCAGCTAGAACCCAGGAGTTGGAGGCTACAGTGAGCTACAATGGTGCTACTGCTCTCTAGTCTGGGCGACAGAGCAAAATCCTGTCTCAAAAAGAGAAGAGTACAGAAAGAAAAGAGAAAACAAGGACAGAAAATTATCAAAAAATAATCCAGGAAAACTTCCAGAACTCAATTTCCCAGAACTCACACGTGAACCTCCAGGTTCAACACGCCAGGCACAGAGAAGGCAAAAAGTCCCGCGTCAGAGACGTCGTGAAATTCCAGACCACTAAAGTGCATCAGGAGGTTGAGAAGTTCCAAATGGAGCAGTGGTGGGAAGACGGATCTGCAGGGAGGAGTATCGGAGCTGACCGCAGCGCCCATCCACGGCCCCTGACCTGGAAGCAAGGCCTTGGGACAGACGTCCCCGCCTAGGTGCTGGAGGACGTCGGGCTCCACCAGACCACGCGAACAAGCCAGGAAGATCAAGACACTTGAGTCTGCGGTGGGCAGAATTCAGAGATGGCGCAGGCTCCCTGCGCCTGCAGTCCTGCTTGCACGATCACAGGGCGTGAGCGGGGCAGATTCCACTGTGGGGTTAGGTTACGTCCTATGGCACAGCTGACTTTGGGGAAAAAGACATGACCCGTGGTGGGCCTGACCGAATCAGGCGAGCCCTTAACAAGGGCAGGGCTCTTTCTGGTGACATTCGGCACCTAAGAAGTGCTGTTGCTGGCGCTGAAGATGGACGAGGCTGTGCGGCAAGGCAGGCAGGCTGTGTCCAGGGGCTGAGAGCAGCCCCCAGCTGACCACCAGCAAGAAAGAGGGAACTCAGCCCTACGACTGCAGGAACTGGATTCTGTCAACTCCCTGGAAGAGCTGGAAGCAGATTCTCCCCCAGAGGCTCCAGACGGGAATACAATTTCAACACCCTGATTCCAACTCGAGACTTGAGCGAAGACACCAGCTGAGCCCAGCCAGACTTCCCAACCTACAACACTGTGAGCTAAGAGATGAGTGTTGTTGTAAGCGAATAAGTCTGTGGCAATTTGTTAGGTGGCAAGAGAAAACTTAAACAGAATTAGAAGGTCCTAACTCGAGAGAGGGAGGAAAACTCAGGCTGTGCAACAGGCTCCAAAGGCAATGATTCAGACACATGCAGGGGCCAGAAGGACGTAGAGAAAGGATTCCAAGAGAAAAGGGAACTGGCAGATGACCTAATATATGTGACCATGGAGGGAAGGCTGGGGGAGGGGCTGCATCCTATTCATTAAGAAGCCAACGGAGTCTAAATTTGATCACCAAGAGATCAGGCAGAGAACTGCCAAAGCTAACCATTTAGGCATCAGTGGTTGCTTTAGGCAGTATGATTCAGGCATGACAGGAGGTGAATAATTTTTATTAAAAGATTTACAGCATTATTGGACTTTTTAATACGTGTATTATTTTGACTTAAAAATGATTAATAATTCATAAAAATATGAGTAAACACCTTATAATGCTTCATTTTACAAATACGTGAAAAGAGCTGGATCCACTGCACCCTGCAAGCTACAGAGGCTGTGGTGAGACCCTGCTGTTTGCTAGTTACGGGCCTTTAAGTCTGAATACCAACGGTCACAACTGTAATTTGAGCACAGCAGATCCTCCTTGTAGCAGTTCCCAGAATTGGGCCTGGCTCAGGGACAGGCAGCCCAGATCTGTCCAACACAGATGAGCTGGGCGGCTGCCTACGTGCCGCCCACACGTGGCCAGGTGTGGCTAAAGATAAGGAGGGGACCCAAGCCCAGGGCACTCCTCCTGAACCCTCAGCCGCAGACGAGACCCTGAAATAGCTCATCCACTAGCAGGCCATGGGCCCAGCCCCAAGAGTTTAGCCTGCTCTTTCTCTGGGGCAAACACCTGCCCTAGCATCTCACAGCACCAGTAAGAAACTCTACCCCCTCACTTTCTTCTCCACACCAAAAAACAGGCCAGGTCTTCCATGCAGGTCACACCAAAAGGGACGAGGACCAATAGGGGTGAAACAGGTGCAGGCACAACAGAGAATCCCTGATAACCACGTAACTATAGCCAGCTGTGAAGGAGAACTGACACCCACGTCCACCGTAACTGTGGCCGATGTGTGGGCTGGTGAATGACCACCATAGAGAACACTCCTCTTTGACATTCTTGAAGTATAGACTTCTACGGATAAAGATCTCCAACTGCAAACTTTGAAACTTACCTTTTCTTCTGCTGAGACCTCAGCCATCTTAGGAAGTGGCGTTGGAGCACGCTTTTTTATCAGTAATAGGACATCTAGAAAGAATGACATTTATGTCTGTCATGTTGGTTATCACTTCACGCCCACAAGATGACATGAATTGTTCTAGATGACCCAAGTTCTAGATGTTCCCGCTGGTCCCCTAACCCAAGCGTCCACATCAGCCGACCTTGGCTAACGTACAAGCCTGGCAGGAGCCCACAGGTGACCAGCGGCCCAGGACGGTTGCACCCCACAGCCCTGACGACCACATAAAGAACTGGTGCAAAAACGTTCTCGCTTTAATGGGCTCAGTTTTGAAAACCTGTGAGGTTGGAGAGCTCGGTCTTAATTCTCGGCTAAAAGTCTGAAGCATGGTTTTTCCACAATGCACAATGGCGGCTCACCTCCCACTTAGTTCTGAGCCTGTTAGCAATACTTTCAGTATTTTCTAAATAAATTACTTTAAGGAATTCCAGAATGAAAGTCATTATTTGAATGACATAGAAAACTGAGGTTTCTCCCCAAGTGCCTTCAGACACAAAACTATAAGGAATTAAATGGTTGTGTGTAATACGAACATCTCTCTGGCATGCTTAAAACAATCACCACAATGATCATTTCCAACCAAAGTTTCATTTTTATTTCCAAAAATAAAACCTACGGAAGCTCTGGAGTCTCTGGTTTTGCTTTGAAACAGAACAAAAATTAAATTGACGTTTGACTTCTGAGATGTCTGCTGCTTGTTCAATTTCAGTTTCTGCTGTTTCCACAAATATTCCATAACATACACTTTTTTTCATAAAAGAAAAATGAAACCATTTATTGTAATCTGGTTTTCTCACTAACATCCTACTCAGAGCCCCGACTCCCTGTGAAGGCCAGGCCTGTGCCCGCAGCGCTGCTGACCGCTTCCCGGCAGCAACCTCACCTTTGTCTTGGACGTTCTCTTCTGAGATCGTTTTAGAGTCACTCAGCACCCTCTCTGAAGCAGCATGTATTAATTTGTGATGGGTTACATTTTTGGGGTCTTCTAAGCTCCCATGAGCACACTAGGGAAAAAATAATAATGTTATTTCAAGATAAAAAATAAATCATAATACTAATAATGTAAGATCTGACATCCTAAGCCACACCAGGAATTTACAGGTTTTTTTTACGAGCTAAGAAATTAAAGTATAGCTAAAATTAAAGAATTCCCATTAATGGTGGAACCACAACGCTGGATCTCCTCGGCCAGTGATCTGATCACCAATCCGCTAAGTACTTCTGAAATAGGCTTGCAGCTTTGACATATAATACCCTACTGATAATTAATGGCAACCCGAATCGCTTTAGTCTGGAAAGATCCGGAAAGTAATTTTTAAATGAAAATAGCAGGTCCATTGTTTCCTGCTGATCTAAGATCTAAGTATGTTTTGTACACTTGTTTTTCTTTCTTCCACAGACACACGAAAGGGGCCGAAGAGACAGCCAAGACTGGTTCAGACAGTGACCACTGAGCACCCACCAACATCCCAAGAAGAGCACTTAGTATGCCTGGTCTCAGCTTGGCCCCAGCTCACTAGGTAATGCCACACTACATATTCAGCTCACGGGCCCCTCCTGGGGCGGCTCAAAGGGGATCAGTGGGCACAAAGTTGTGTCCAAATCACCAGGGCCCTGGACACCGCATCACGCCTGGGTGGGTAAGGGCACTAAAGTCTTCACCCACACGGGAAGGCAGCACACAGCGGCAGTGAGGAGCGCACCCTCTCACACACCCACCACCCCTCGCACGGATGACCTGGGAAGCCATCTCGACAGCTACTGACTTAAACTCCAGGCAAAGCCTGAGCAGGCGTCCATGAAGTCCCTTCCAATCCTGTCATTTTAACGTGAAGAGCTCACAGCAAATCATGGGCGGGGGCCTGGCAGACACTGCTCATCATTTCAACCTCTCTGCACAGCAATGCACAGCTGTTAGCACAGGCTCGCAGAAGTTCTGCTTTCCTTTGGACGCAGGCCATCAGATCGCCACGTAGGCTCACCGTTTTGTGAAGACCGAGCAAGCGCTGGCGGTCCCATGTGACGAAGACCCAGGTAAGCGCATGTGCCTGTGTGCCGGCGTGCAGACACGCCCACCAGACTGTCGTCTTGCTATCTGCTTTAGACCACACGGCCCCACACACCACAACATGCCAGATAGCAGTGCCCACCCAATCAGCTATGGCCCCTCCACATGAACCAGAATCTCAGGGTGCGGAGAGTGGGGCTGCACTTGTATATTTCAGAAAACATCCACAGATGCTTCTATAGCCCAGGCTGAAACTCTTTGCTCTTACTGAGTCCCCGAGGTTAGATGGTAGAATCATCTGATGGCTGTGGCACCATTCTGGGACGGCCCGGCCCCAAAACACCCAGCGGGCCAGAGTCTTGCAGGCCGTCCCCAGATGTCTCAGGTAGCTGGGTACAGACCCACTGCAGGCTTCCTCACCACCTCCCTCTGCTACCACGAGGCTCAAAGATACACAGCGTGCACAACTTCTTACCAGAAAAGAAGAAAAAACCTAAGCATGTGCTTTACCTCGCAAGACTGGCATTTTAAGAGTAACTGGAATTTTCCATTACTCTGAAGACTGAAAATGATTCTGAAACAAGGATCGTGAAGGCTTTGGGAGCTGTCATTCATTCACGTAAAACCAGCATGGCTGAGGGGCAGAAGGTGGAATCCAGTAACGGTAAAATACACTCTTGCCACTCATGACAGAGCAGTCAACTTCCTTTGAATTTGACAATGGTTCTGCTCCCAGAAATACTGGATATGCCTCTTCACAATTCTAAAATTTGCAGGCTAGTTGATTTGTCAAGTTCAGAATACAGAATACAGTCTACAAAACACAATTTCCCAAAACAATCCGAAAAAAACTGTGCTCTACAGCATGTGAACAGCACATAAGGAACAAAAACATAGACGTGAGTCACCCACACTATGCCAGACTCTCTCGTTCTGTTTCTTTGCTCTCAGTAGAAGCTGGGGTACAGCCGTGAAAAAGCCCTGACAAAGGCCACCACCAGGCAGGGAGGTGTTAAACCTACAGCAGAAAAGCACTGACTTCCTTTCCGCTTATAACTGACATAATCTGTCGTTTGAAGGTACACTTTCAGGTGATCTAGGAAATTTTAACAACCACACTAGCATATACACCAACTCCACCACACCAGAGGCATAATGTATTTGAAATCACTAACCACCTCTTTTCCAGGCAGTGGAAGCTAGAGACGACCATGGCGATCCCAGTTTGCACAAAAAAAGGGAAAGGCCACAATGGCCTTTCTTTAAGAGTTATGATAATAAAACCCCTCCCTAATACAGCAGTCACTCTCAGGAGTACTGTGGGGGGATACAAGAAGAGCCCACGTTGTTCCCCTGGGGGTAGAGGGGAAGAGGGAGAGAAAAATACGCTAGCGGAAGCCCATACAGTGGGGAGGAGCTCCGCTAAGACACAGATCAGGCTCCCTGCTATAGCAGTCTGCAGTCCCAGGACACAACCTGGGAATCCTCTTCCAATGAATGCATTCTGGCTGTCTGCAGAACAGGACAGGGCATAGGGGTGGGGAGGCTTTCTGACAGCTCAGCTCCAGAGGCCTGTAATGCCTGTAACGCATGGCAGCCTCTGCAGTGTGAAAATCCCCACGTGGTCAGATCCCCCACTCCTGGAGAAACTGCAGAGTGGAATAAAGTCTCAATTTAAAGTAGTATAATGACCAAAAAATCCCAAATGATATATCTCAATACTGAATGGAACAATAAATATGAGGAACATAATAATTAGCATCATATAGAAATTCTCTAATTAACCCCAATTGCTCCTGAAATTCGTTAGTAAGCATCCGTAGATCAAACAGTTCTCATTTCCCGTTCACCTTCATAAAATAGTACCATTAGTGAGTTAAACTGAATGCCATACCAATGCAGGTGACACCCCATGTCGACGCAGTTTGGGGTTGACAGCCTATTTTCATTTATTGCATTAATCCACACGTTTGTTTTGGTGGCTGCTCTGAGCCTGACCCTGGACTTGTGGCTACAAACCGAGCCCTTAAGGAGCTTCTGTCCGGGGTGGAGGAGGAAATAGCACCTCAGGGAGGTTTTAAAAAAACACGCACACACTAGACAAGCAACAAAGCCTGGCTCTCACGGGATGCCCCGAGGTCCCAGCCTTTTAGCTCAGTGCTGTCCTGGTGGTTTTCTAGATGGCAAAACCACAGACTGGCCAGAAGAAAAACAAGAAAGCAGCCAAAAAGCACATTGCCCTTGAACATGTGTGCCTGGAGGCCCCTCTTCAACACGGATCGCTAAGGCCACGAACTCATGATTGTTCACATCCCGTGTGTTCCAGAAGCAGGCTCGCCATGCCTGCCTCTGACAGTTGCAGAACAATTCCCCAGAACCACACTCGTGAGAGTAACTCAAAAGTGCTCCTTGTGAGCGCTTGGATAACGTCTAGACAACAGTTAGCTACATTCTAACACAACCAACCTGTCAACACATAAACACAACATCACATGGCAGCCTCCTTTAAATTCTGACAATGAAGCACCACGTCATGTCAGGTAGAGTTTCCTTAGGCTACCAGACTCCCGCAAATAGTCTTAGCTGACCTTATGCGTCGAGTTTAGAGAGGTGGAGGCCTCAAGAAGTGTTGTTAGCTCTAACAATCAGCAACCTAATACAGTAACTATACAGGAATATTTCACGTGAACACACTTTAAAAAGTGTCTCTTTCAATGAAGAGTCCCTTCTGCTGGACCTTCCCACTTAATTCTACCTCTGCAGAAAAGCAGCGACACAGGCACTTGCCCCGCAGTAGGACTATTTTAAGTGACTCCACCTAAGCCGTGCAAGTGGCCCGAGCCAAGCCCTGGCCCACACACCAACCCCAGGAAACAGTGTCCTGCTCTGCGGGGAACGGGCCCCTTAACGAAGGGACCTATGTCAATTCTCCGCTCTCGAGGAGCTGCTAGAAAAGGAAAACCTCGCCCCAACGGCGAGCAAGCACAAATGCTGTGAACCCGTGAGGCCTGCTCCAGTCGGCGACTTCACCTCTCCCAGTCTCAGTTTCCCTACCCGCCCCTCCCTCTCAGAGCGGCTGCAGGGTTAAATGAGAGGGTGGCTTGTAACGCGCTCGGCCTGGCGGCTGGCGCCGGGCAAGTGCTTCATGAACGCGCCCGCCAGCCGGCGGGCTCGGGCAAGAGTGTCCAGAAGGTGTTGGGGTCGAGAAGGGAGGTAGCTGAAAAAGGGGCAGGAGGCGCTGCCTCCACGCCCGGAGAACAGAGAGCCCGGGAGCTGCGGACTGGGCGGCGGGCCTGACGTCGAGGAGGAGGCTCCGGGATTGAGGCGAGGGTCCGCCGTCGAGGCAGGAGTCCGGGGTCGGAGCGGGGCGAGGCGAGGGTGAGGGCCGGGGTGAGGGCCGCGGAGCGGGGCGGGGTCGCGGGAGCCCGGCCTTACGTGCTTGAGGCAGCGCTCCTTGAGCTTCTCCACCGAGGTGTCCTCGGTCGCCTCCTCCAGCCACTCGGCGCCGTCGGCCGCGCAGATGTGGAGCCGCAGCACCTTGCCCGCGAAGATCTTCTCCTCCTGCACGAACATCCCGCCGCCGCCGCAAGGGCCTGCGCCCGCCGCCCGGGCCCGTGAAGGTCACCGGGCGGGCGGGCGGGGCGGGGGCGGGGCCAGGCCGCCCGCGCGCGCCTTTGCTGGGCCGCGCCGCCGCCGCCCCGCCCGGCTCCCGTCCGCCCGGCCGCCCGTCACTCGCGCGGCCTGAGCGGTCGCCCAGCTCCCGCCGCCGCAGCCGCCGCACCGGAAGTGCGTGTGGGGCGCGCCCGGCGCATGCCGGGAGATGCAGTTCTCCGCCGGCGCCCCGCTCCCGCGCGCCGGAAATGCGTAAGGGGGCGCGACCGGGGCACGCTGGGAGCTGCGGTTCCCCGGCCCCTCCCTCGCCTGCTCTTCAGCGCCGGTGGGGCCGAGCCGGTGTCGCGAGGCAGCAGGAAGAAAGAATGTAGGATACGTCGGTGATGGTTGTGTAGTCAGTGCACGTTGACATAACATTTTGGAGTATTGGGTTAATTTTAATATCTGTTAAAATCATCCTGATCTATTTCGTTTTACGTTTTGAGATCGGCTGCTGGAACGTTTAACATCGTGCATGTGGCTGCTGGGATGTTTCCAACGGACCGCACTGCCCTGGAGCGGAGGCCCCCAAAGTGGGGTCCCCTGGGAACTGTTGGGGCCCCGGCCACGCCCTGGCCCAGACCAGGGAAATGCGGCCCCCAGGCCGGAGGAGCACGAGTCCACACAAGGCTGCGTGTCGGGGGCCCGGCGAGGGTGGAAGCTGCCCCACGGGCACAGGTGGACTCAGAGTCTCTGCTTGGCCAGACTGAGTCAGGCTCCCGAACCTTCTCCGGGGCGCATGGGTGCGCTTCCTTGTAAAATCCAGCTTTGGCAAAGAACCTGCTAAATCAGTTTAGCCAAGAGACCCCACTCTCAACATTGGGTCACCCTCGATGTCTGGTCCGGTTTTCCACCCTCCACCGTCCCCGGGGATGTCTGGTCACGCTGGCCTGTCCGCAGCAGAATCCGCTTCACCCCTGCTGTCTCCTCCTGGTAGTTTCCACCCATTGACGCCCACCCTGTTCCCTGCTGTAGATTCCCCCTGGCCCGCGGGGTGTTCAGGGATGAGCCCGCTCTCCCTCCCGCACCGCAAGGGTCTCTGTAGCGATCTCTGGGTCCTGAGTGGAGTCCGCCTTACCGTGGTGACAAATGTGAGCGCTGCCGTTTGGGCCAGACGTTGACCACGGACTGACCCGTGCTCACTCATCTCGTTCCTTGAGAAACCCGCTACTGCGTGAGCGAAGATGAGTGAGGCGCAGGGCCGTCCTCAGAGGCCAGCAGTCTGCGTGAGGGGGTCTCAGGATCTCTCCCCTCCAGGCCGTCCTCCGTCCACACCGCTCCGCACTCGCTTCGCCACGTTCGCTCTGCGTGGTCAGCCCGATCCTGCCCTTGGTCGGGCTTCTACTAACTGCCGCCCACGAGCCAGAGCCTCTGCCAGCCGGTGGGGCTGTAGTAGCGATTAGGACCAGAGACCAGGCTGCGGGCCGGAGGGGGCATTTTTGACTCAGGAAGTGGAGGCGCCGACCGTTAGGGACGCTGTGACACGTAGGGCCGGAGGGGGCAGTGTTGTCAGGGATGCTGATCCAGGTGACCGGTGCAGGGTGACGCAGGAGGAGGAGTGGACAGGAACAGGAGCAAAGACCTGTAGGAAGGAATCAAGTGCAATGTGTGAAGAAAGCGACAAGTGTCCCAGAGCTCCTGCATCATCGGGGGAGGGCTCAGGTGGAGCCCGAGGGGATGGCAGTAGGTGACTGGGGGGGTGGGGCGTGGAGGCTGGAAGGGAAAAGAAAGTCGGGAGCTCCTGCGTCCTTCCCGGGAGCCACGCTGCAGGCCTGAGCCGAGACAGCGGAGCAAGGAGGACGGGCTCCGGTGGCTTGAGCCCGTGGGGGCAGGTGGGCAGGATTTGGCGGTGCCTCTGACGAAGGGAGGGTGAGACCAGAGGGAAATCAGGGCTGACATGAAGGCTCCGGCCCGGGTGACAGGTACAGGGCAGGGCCACCCTCTGAAGGAGGGGAGCAGGGCCAGTGCAGGGGGAAGGAAGGTGCTCAGCTCACTTTGGGCAGGGCCTGTGCGTGCAGGGGACGCTCGTGTGGCGGTGGCCAGGGGCAGTTGAGCCTACAGCACTGAAGCCCAGGAGAGACTGGCCTGTCGTCAACACGGCAGCGACGCCAGAACTGAGAGGGCGTCCCCTACATGTAGAGAAGCCCGTGGAGCAAACCGAGAAAAAGGTCCCGGGAAAGCTCGTGGCGCGTGCCAAAGGGAGAAGATGTTGAGGAGAGAGGGGCCTGTGGGAGAGCTGGAAACACCACGTCACCTCAGCGGGGGTCCTTGGGGCTGGCAGGGGGTTTGGGGGCACGAGCCGGCTGGGATGCGAGTACCAAAAGCGCCCTGAAGCTCAGCGGTCAGACCGCGCTCCGGCGGTTCTCGGAGCCCGGGGCTGACCTGGGCCGGGCGGGCTGATTCCGGCTGGACGCACCGGCGATCGCCGTCACCTGGCAGGCGGGCTGCTCCCGGATGGCCGGGCCGGGACCGCGGGCCTCAGCTGTGTGGCCTCCGCTCCCCTGGGCTCGTGCCCCGGGCGTTTCCAGCCTCTGCTTGTGCCACGTTGCTGGCATCTCCAGGACGAAGCAAGTCGTGAGTCCAAGTCCAAAGTCAGAGAGGGTAGGCCTAGATGACAGGGCAAAGAAGAGGGGACACGGAGGCCACCAGTGGGGCCATGGACACGCCCTCTCCACCTCCCAGAAGGTTGATTGAGAACAGAGAGCGAGGACGCACCCGCGTGGGAAAGGCTCTGCGGTTTGTTCAGGGGCACGTGGGTGCTCCGGGCTGAGCACGGGGCGGGCAGAGGCTGAAGCTGGAGGGAGGCCGCAGGGCGGAGGATCAGCTGGGAAGGGGCCAAGGCTGGGACCCCAACAGCACCCCAACTTCCAACAGGAAGAATCTGAATCCCCCCTTGGCGTGAAATCCCTTCCCAGCTTCCCTGCTTCCTCCCAGCCACGTGCTGCACAGTGTGGGGGTGGCCCTGCCACGGGGACCTCACGAGTGTCCACACAGGCCCCGCAACGCCCTGGAGAGAGTGGAGGTTTGTCAGGAACGACTCCTAGGCCTCCCGCTGCGTCCCTGTCTCCGCCCACTGCCCCCGAACAGGTTCTCATCTTCCCCGTTCTGCCGAGGTGTGAGGCTGTACTCATTTCCTGTAACAAATGACCACAAACTGGATGTCTTAAAACAACAGTAATCTCTCCAGGTTTTGGAGGAAAGAAGTCCGAAATCAAGGTGCCGATGAAAGGCTCCATGGGAGGGCCCTCCCTGCCGCCTTCAGCCTCTGGCCCCTGAGCCGACACCCCCCACGTGTCCCTCTGCGCAGGGGCCGACACCCCCCACGTGTCCCTCTGCACACGGGCCCACTCTCCCCACGTGACCCTCTGCGCAGGGGTCGGCACCCCCTACGTCATCCTCTGCGCACGAGCCCACTCTCCCCACGTGAGCCTCTGCGCACGGGCCGGTCGACACCCCCTACGTGAGCCTCTGCGCACGGCCCACTCTCCCCACGTGACCCTCTGCACACGGGCCCACAACCCCCAGTTCTCCGCATCCTTAGCTTGTGACCTTGTCACTCCAGCGCCCCTGCCTCCGACTTCGGCACTTCTCCCTGTGTCTCCTCCGTGTATCTCCTCGGACATTCGTCTCTGGGTTGGGGCCGACCCTAAGCCAGGGCGACCTTCTCTCGAGATCCTGAATTCTGCCTACAAAGGCCTTTTTCCCCAAATAAGGTCCCAGGCACAGTTCCCGGGTCAGGACACGGAGGCAGCTCCCGGGGGCACCACCCGGCCCCCGCAGAGGCTTCCTGCCCTGCCCTGGAGGTGCGGCTGCTGGCGACAGGACCCTCAGGCGCGGCCTGGCGGGCCCCTCGGCAACGGGTGGCTCTCGTCAGGATTGTCGGCCTCTTCTGTTCTGACACTGTCCCCTTCAGTGTGGGGGCCTGGTCCTTGCACTGTGTGTGGCAGAAGCAGCTCGCGGTGTCCCCACAACCACTTCAGCCAGGCCCAGCCTTGCCCTGTGGGCCCGGCATCCGCAGTCCCGAATCTCAGCAAAGTCCCCCACCGCCCGCCCCTGGGCTTCCACCGGTCACACCATTGTTCCTGCTGTTCTCCCGAACCCACTACCGATTCCTTGCCCTTCCTTGCCCGGGCGCCTGTGCAGACCCAGCCCACTCCTAGGAGCCCAGGGCCGCCGCCTCCAGGAAGCCTGCCCTGGCCGTGCCTCCTCGGGGGCACCACTTGGCACAGCGAGCGTGTTGGCAAAATGCTTCCCAGGAGGCTGGAAGTCGGTGCAGTGGTCTCCGCGTCGGTGGCAGGGGCCCCGCAGGCCAGAGGCGAGTCGGCGGTAATTCCCTGGCCCCCAGAACACCGGAGAAGAGCAGCAAGTCCCTTCCCTGGGGACCAGGCGCTGATTCTCTGAGCAGGTGGCCTAGATGGGGTTCCAGAGTCAAATCTACCAGCTTCAAGCCCACGCCCTGTCCCTTCCCGGTCAGGAGGCCTCGGTTTCTTCTTCTGTGGCTTTGGTGGGGACACGGAGATGCCACCTAAGGCCCCCTCCAAGAGAGGACCTGCTGCCCCAGCTGCAGACACCCCCTGGGAAGTCGCTCTGGGGTGGCTGAGCCCAGCGGGGTGTACAGACCCGGCCCCCTCCCAGGTCCTGTGGCGGGGACACGCTCCAGAGCCCACCCCCACGGGCTGGCGCAGGCTCTCTGGGCTCAGCTCCCCCTGCCCGATGCTGCCTCCCGTCCCGGCCAGCAGGACACTGTGCGCCCGGCTTCCGCCCAGCTCTGCTCTGGGGCGCTGGTCCGTTGGTCCAGCTTGGTCCTGCGGTGCGCTGGGTGCCACGCAGGCCTAGGGCGCAGCAGGAAGAAGGCAGTCGGGCCCCCAGCCCGCGGGAGAGGGAGCCCTGAGCTCCCTGTGTGGGGGTTGGGGGGACTTCGGGCAGGCGGTCCCCAGCAGAAACCAGCTTGGCCAGTTCGGCAGAAAAGGAGCTCACAGAGGGCTTCCGGGTTGGGGCCCCAGGGTCACGATGCGGGGGCGTCCCCAGGAGAGCCCACTGCCCTCCACGATGGACGCCCTGCTCACCCCGACCACGCAGCCCCAGGAGCAGGGCTCCCAGTTCATGTCACGCCCACACTGTCAGCCCTCTGGGACAGTCTCCGTCCCTGTTTTTCTCAGGGGGGTCC